CCATACGAGTCCTATAATTTTATACAAATATTTATTTTGCATGATATGCAGCATAATTAGCATATAAAAATTAATATATGTGTATAAATAATATATTTATACATTACTTTTGTGCAGANGGGCTAACTTCTATATGTAATATAGTCGTTTTATGCAACACTTACGTTTTGATCTACGGATTCAATTAATAATCAGACCAATCCTCAACCCCCCTGTAAATTAATTATAAATTTATTAATTATGCAAAAGTTTAATTGTACTTCAACTATAGCCCTTCACCAATAATAAGCCCTGAGAGCGAAGCCAATATTTTAAACATCAAATAAGTTTGGTCAGAGAAATTTTATGATTACGTAACAATTTTAAGCAATTTGCTGAAGCTAACAGATTTTTTATCGATGTTTTAATATTTTATCATGTATGATATCAAATACTGATTCAATTGAATGTAAATTGGAAAAAGTTAAACAAACCCTGCCTGTGATTATAGAAAATATTTTTTCTAAATTATAGTGAACATAAATAACATTATCAATAAACGCTTAGATACATTCACATATAAGCACAGCATTGGTAGCACATTTAGCATACCACACAGTTATCTATTATATACTTAATATAGACCCATGACTTGGACGTCCTTTGTTTTGTTTTCCATGAATCTGAGTTCTACTTTCCCCAGATAAATTTATATTTAATTGCGCTGTTGATGCAGTAGTTACGTCATCATCTGATTCCATAGGACTTATTCGAATAGCTTGATACCATTGATTTGTTAGATCTGTCATTTGTGATTTACAATCTTTCAGTTCTTGTTGGGTAAACCTTCTTGTAAAGAAAGGAATAAAGAACTTTAAATCCCATCTTGCAAAACCACGAATTCGTGATTGAAGGAACGATACTTCAATTTCTTCTTCTGTAAGTTCTGATAGATGCTCAGAATCTATTGTTTGGCCCTAAAATAAAAGTGTATTATACATATAAATTACATAAATATATAAAACCGCGGATTGCATGTATGCTAAGGAAAAAGTTGCTTCAAATGACCTCATGAACCTCCCACTTCCCGGAAATACGATAATTTTGGGACACTTTGTATATACAAAGTGTATGTATTGTATATACAATATATATATGCATTTAATCTAGTACATATTTATATATTGCATGTACTTAAATATCCATAAACTTACCCATTCTCTAGTTTTACTCAAAGACACTTCTTTATCCTTTCTCTTTCTTCTACTGTTACTCTTTTGCTTCTTCTCAGCTCTCAAAAACTTTAACAGCGGCATGGTTGAACCACCAAAAATTAATGTTGTAAATAACACAATAATTAATGTAGTTGTGATAATCACATGTCGGGTTTCATCACTGAAATCCAAGTGAAGTGACAAAGCATAAGAAATAGCACCTCGCAAACCACTAAACCACATTATAAACATCATTTTCCTAGTAATCTGATGCTCTCGAAAACGATTAACAAGGAGAGCTAAAGGAAAGATGTTTGCAGCTCTACCAATGAGACAGAGGATTATGGACCATACAACTAACGCAGGTTCAACCTAAGATTGAAATACAATTATTTCATTAATGTAACATATAACAAATAATGAAAATAATATTAAGTAGAGAATATTTTACTCGATGTCTAAAGCTGAACAAAGCTAGACCCAAATAAGCAAACACACAAGTTTCAGCAATAAATGCCAGTGTTCTCATGGTCTGTTGCATTGTAATTTGAGTCACAGTTGATAAGTTAAAATGAGTATAATGCGACATTACGATCCCGTTAAATAAAATTGCCATAATACCTGAAATAAAAATTAATAATTTACTTATATTGCAATGTGGCAATAATAAATTTAAATATTGAAAATCTTACCAGATAATTGGATGCCTTCTGCTAATACATATGGTGCATAGGTAAATACCAACATAAGTCCAAACTCAAGAGAAGGATTTTTTCTAAGGTCCACATGTTTGAGTAACAATGCACTTATAAGAGCAAAAACAACTCCAATGCCCGCAGAAGCAAAGAACATGAGACAAAATCTATTTAAGCCAAGAATAATGGCTTCGCTAGTAGTTGACGCATTATTAGATTCTAATACAGAAGTGGTTAATACAATAGAAATTGCATCATTTAAGATAGATTCTCCAAAAACTAACATATTTAATACTGGATCTACATCTAAGGCATGAAATATAGCTACAGTAGCAACAGGATCTACTGCAGATATTAAAGATCCAAATGCAAAACTTTCAACAAAACTAAGTTTATATGCTACTTGAGCTAATCCTAATAGATATATTCCAGCACCAATAACAAATGCTGATATTGCTGTACCAAAAATAGCAAAAACTAAGATACTGCCAATGTTCTGAAAAAAATTTCCTTTGTGCAAGTTATATCCTGATTCAAATATGATGGGTGGTAGAAGTACAAGGAAAAATGCAGTTGGAGAAAATGCTTCTTCTTTTCTCCAATTAGCTATATTCTGATTTGACATAAGATTTATAATCATGCCAATGGCTCCTCCTAAGAAAACAATTACTACAGATTCAGGTAGATATTGGAAATTTGTTTGTAGCATCAAGTGTATAAGTAAAATGCCTAAGGCTAATACACAGAGAACAAAAAATATAGACATAGAACTATTGTGTTCTTCTTCCGCAGATCCCTTATCGGGCAATACTGGTTCTGCTGGAGTAATAGTTGTAGTACTTGCATTTGTTGCATTGCTAATATCTGGACTTTGTGATGAAACCACAAAATCTGGTACAGTACTCCCATTTTTGTCAATGGTATTATTTATTGTAACAGTATTAACTTTTTCGGTAGTTTCATTATTAATGTCGTGATCCAATCGAACTGTACTTGTAGATATAATTTGAAATTTAGTATCTGTGATATTTGGTTCAGAGATGCTTATATTCACATTGTTAGTGACGGATTTTTCAGATGCACGTGTTTGTAATAACGTACTGCTATTCAAATATGTCTGCGTAATATTTTGCAGCGTAATAGTCTTATTGTCCAATGTGACATTTTCATGTTTGAGGTTAGATGTTTCTTCGGCATTTAACACAGCAATACATGCACCAAAAACGCAAAGGATTGTGTAAATGATAAAACTTTTACACGAGAGTTTATTATTTAAATATAAATTCATTTTTAAAATATTTTTACATTATTCACGATACTTAGACACACATTTCTCCTGAATGTACTACTAGTATTACAATTTGACAGAGCACAGCTGATCATATAGAACGTATGTGTACATACGTATGTACATATTTCGATATCTCGCTTTGCGTTTACGTCAGCAATGTGACACGTGTTCGGCTGTAAAAAGAAGCTATCACATCTATGTACTTACATTATATACATTTTTTTAATTTAATTCAGGCCTTTAAACTTATAATACTATACTGCAAACAATAAAACTAAAATTATTATAAAGTAAATAAAATATATTTATAGTTAAGTGCGTTATATTATACACATATTGTACACCAAAATTTTGGTTTTACTTATTAATTATTAATGTTCAATTATTATTTTTTTTCTATAAGGGGTTCACTATCATAACTAGTAGGTAAACCAGATCGACCAATATCCGCTGAATGTACTTCATCTTTTCCCAATCTTTGCTCAACACCTTTCCAAGATCTATTGTTCAAAAATTCTGCTCCTGCTTTTCCAATTGCGACAACCCCTAATTCAATCAAAATAATGTTATTGGAGAAATATTTATTGCTAGAGTGTTTTTATGAGACTAAAATACCTGAATCTTTAATTGCCAGTGCATTCATCTTATCTGAACATGGAACATTTTTATTACAATTTCTAAGTTCACCAGTAATTAAAGAAATATCTGCATCCATCGATGATGTAAAATCAACATAATGTATTCCTCCTGGTAGAATTTGTCGAAAATCCATACAATACTCTGTATACAATTCTCTTGAGCTATTAAATGCTAGTTCTACTTCGTAAGGCATAAGTATTGGTTTTAAAAACTCTCTAGAATCGAACATTTCATTTTCAGGACATGTTATCATGACAAAAACATCAATCTGTAAATATGCATATGTAAAAATATTACTGTTGTTTTGGATAAAAATTCACACAATGTAATTTACATACCTCTGGAAAATTTGCAAGTTTCATTGGATTAATTTTACCTATGCTTAGAATATAACATTTTTTATTCTTATTTTTAAGAATATTTTTAACCATTGTTAATGTCTCCAAATAATCTTTAATTCCTAATGTGGCTACAATTATACCAACAACTTTAGCATCTTTTAATTTTTCAATCAAAAATCTTCTTCTTTTTAACCATGGAGTATTTAAAGCTTGGGATTCAATAACATTATTATTTTCAAAATAATACCATTTCTTTACAGGGATTGTTACTGCTAATGTAGTAAATGTTTTTTCACCACATCCAAGGTAAAATGCTTCATACTCCCTTATACTGAAACCTTTTCCTAAGTTAAAACTTCTACCTAAGACTACTACAGATGAATTGTCTTTGATATCTGTATATTCTACATTGGAACTGCAGTTTAAAGAAGAGAAGATCAAATTTTCATAAAGTGGACATAAAATTCTTTGTATACTTTCTGTAATTAAAAGACATTCATAAGAATTCATAAATTTAATGTGCTAATGTTTTTCTAATATTATAGAACTTACCAATTTTATGTGCATAAGCAACATCATAAAAGAATAATAGCTTTTTAGATTTATCTTCAAAATTAGATTTAAATTTGTCAACGACTTCTGTCACGTTAATTTCTTTCTTTGGCAAAACGTGGAATACTGGTAATCTCGCAGTAGGATTTAAACAAGCATGACCAAAATGTATGATACCATCTGCATTGATATGTTGAGCTGTTATTTCATCAATGCAACAACTACCACAAGTAGTATCTCCCAAAATGTATACTTTCTTCTTGATACGATTCTCCAAACATAATGCAATTTTTACAGAATCATGTAAAAGGCTATCAGGAAATTGTAAACAAATCTGAAAGTATTTCATATTCATTAAATTAAGATTTTCCTACATACTAGATATGCATTTATTTAATATAAGATATCATATTCTACTTGTAAGCATTAGTAAATGAAAATATTACGGTAGACACGTTTAACCTTCATAATAAGTTTTTTTTTTTAATATTATTTAGGAAGTAGAATAGAAATAAAATCTTCCATTACAATTCGATCTTACAATTCTAAGTGATAAAATATTAATTTCATAGATAAATCATTCGAACCTTATTTAAATTACACGCATCAATCCATTTACCGCATTTTTCCACTTCGTAAGGGTCATCTTCAGTATCATCATTTATTTCATGTTGGGTCATTTTTACAGTCATTTCTGGAATCATTTTGTTTCATGCACTAAATTTTACACATAACAAAAATTATTTACAAACAGGTACATTTATACGTGTAACGAATACGCCAGTGTACTATACACACATGCAATTACAAGAGGTCACTAGAAATCACGTAGCATGTCGCTGAGATGTCTACATATACATATAAACTATGACACACACATGCTGCTCTCATTATTACGGTATCCTAAAAAATAATAAAAATTCTGAAACATTATTGACTTTGGCAATTTTTTCATGAATATTCTTTTAAATTACTAAACAATTGTTCTTGGAATATGCATTTTTTATTTACATTTTTATTTACTGCACTCATTTACTCTACAATATGCAACATTTCAACTTACCTTTTAAATATTTTTATCTATTACTATGATATTGAAAAATTATAAAAGTGGTTGATATTTTTTAGTAAACGTAACACATTTAAGACTGGTTTTCGATATTTTTCGATATACATATGTATGTATATTATATACTTAATTTTTTTGTAATTTACATGCATCAAT